CTCTGGTTTTGGCCACGATGGCCTCCTGCAGCCCTCTGCCAGCAGAAATGGAGCTTGGAGGGCCATGTGTGCCCCACCCAGGCGCTGTTTTGGCTGGCAGAGGGTTGCAGGAGGCCATTGTGGCCAAAAACGGAGCCTTGTTGAGTGACATAGAGCTTGGGAGGTTGCATGCGCAGCCTTCCCAACTTCCGTTTTTGCTGGCAGAGGCACCGTGGGCTGGTCCTTCTCTGTTTCCAGAGCGCCTCCAGAGGCCATATCTAAGCACCCCGTGGGCCGGATGTGCCCCGCAGGCCTTGAGTTTGATACACCTGGACTAGAAGATCTCCAAGGTCCCTTCCAACTCTGTTATTCTGTTATATTTAAGACTTTTGGGAAAGGAAAGGGCAGCTACGGGTCAGGCAGGGACTATATTTTTCTAATAGGGAAAGGGAAGAATCTGGCTTTTTTTTAAAAAAAAAAACACCTTTTCTTCTGCTTGATCGAATGCCATGAAGCCATCATCGACCCTTCGTGACACCAAAAAAATTTTCTCCCTGACGATTTGTCCCTAATCTGATTTCCAGATCTTCCAACAGTGGCTCCACTTGCCACTTGAACTGATTCCATCCACCTTGCTGCTGGTCTCCCTCTCTTTCCTTCCGCCTTCCCCAGCGTTAGAGCCTTTCCCAGAGAGCTTTTGCACCGTGTTTCCAAAGCAGGATAATAGGAGGCTGGTAATTTATGCCTGGAGTGAGAACTCTGTGGATTGATTTATTGGACCCATTCTGTTGTTTCCCGGCTCCCCTTTATGTTCTTATTTTACAATTTGCCTGATAGATTTTCGGTCTTGCCCTGCGTCTTATTCTCACCAATTGTAATTGGAAGGGACTCCAGGAACTGCACAGGATACAGGTTGTTCTCGACTTACAACAGTTCATTTAGTGACTGCTCAAAGTTATGCAAAAAGCGACATGATCATTTTTCCCAGTTACCACGGTTGCGGCGTCCCCCGTGGACCCGTGATCAAAATTTGTTTGCTCGGCGACTGGATCATATTTCTGACAGTTGTAGCATCCTGGTGTCACGTGATCCCCTTCTGCAACCTTCTGTCAAGCAAAGTCCATGGGGAAGCCGGATTCACTTAACGACCGTGGTGCTGAATTAACAACCGCCCTGATTCGCCTAACAACCGGGGCGAGAAAGGTTGTAAAATGGGAGAAAACTCCCTTAACAAACGTTTCGCTTAGGCTCAGTTGTGGCCTTAAGTCAAGGACAATCTGATGCATAGGATGCCTTAATTAAAAACAACAGCAACAATACCCCCCCCCCCCCAAAGCGGTCTCCAGATATTTTGAACTACAACTCCCATAGTCCCCCTATTTGTGCTGGCTATGCCTGACGAATGTTGAAGCCCAAGACATAAATGAACTTTATGGAAGGCTTCTGGCTCTCTGCTTTTCAGGTGTCCCTCACCTTGTAAGATAGATCAGGATGAGTTTCTCATATAGTCAATGATGAAATTGAGGGATTAGCAATAGCACTTAGACTTGTATACCGCTTCACAGTGCTTTACAGGCCTCTCTAAGCAGTTTACAGAGTCAGCCTCTTTCCCCCGACAATCTGGGTCCTCATTTGACCCACCTCGGAAGGATGGAAGGCTGAGTTAACCTTGAGCTGGTATGGATGGATGAGTGGATGGATGGATAGGGAAGGGAAGGGGGAAGGAAGGAATATAACTATAGCACTTAGGCTTATGTTCCGCTTTACAGCCCTCTCTAAGCAGTTTACAGAGTCAGCCTCTTGCCCCACGACAATCTGTGTCCTCATTTTACCCACCTTGGAAGGATGGAAGGCTGAGTCAACCTTGAGCCTGGTGAGATTCCATCTGCCAAAGTGCAGGCAGCCAGCAGTCAGCAGAAATAGCTTGCAGTACTGCACTCTAACCACTGGGCCACTGTGGCTCAATAGCGTTATCTGAACAATAAGGAACAGAGTAATCTTTCCTGGAACTCACCTTAGTAAAGAAAACACGGAGCTCTCCCTGTTTCCTAATTTCAAAGCAAGCAATCACTTTACCTTGTATACCATAGATCAGGGGTGTCAAACTCAATACCCGTGAGGTGCTTAGATCTGGCTCGGGGGCCCGCCCTAGAAACAGTGAAGGATTGGCCCACGGTGCCTCTGCCAGTGAAAATGGAGTTTGGAGGGGCGCATGCAGCCGAAGGCAGAGGGTTGTAGAAGGCTGTCGCAGCCGAAAACAGAAATTGGGAGTCCATTTGGCAAAAGTGCTCAGGCTACCACAGGTGCCCCCAACACGTAACATTGAGTTGGCCACGCCCCCAACCCCCCCCCCCACTCCGCTCAAGGTCAAACACAACCCTTGATGCAGCCCTCCATGAAATCGAGTTTGACACCATTGCTATAGATTATTTTTTTCCAACAACTTAACAAGGACAAACTGCTTCTCGTTCCTCCCATTTGCATTTCCCCCCTACCCTTTGCATCATTCGAGAATGAAGGATGGGTTTTCATCTTGTCCTTTAATATCAGAAGATCTGTAGCCATTAAAACCTTTTGGTTTTCATGTGGTTCTTTGAGAAAAAATCATTGAATCCTTGTCTCTCCCCCCCCCCCATTGTGATATCTGTCATATTTTGCAGTTTAAAGAGTCCAGTTTATGAATAGTCATATGGATTTACTTCTAAACTTATTTCCAGGAAAACAGCATTTGGCCTTTCAAATAAAGACTTTTTCTACAGATTCAATATTCCTGGAAGGGCCATTTAAAGAGATATGAGTTTCCTCCCCCCTCCCTCCCTGCCATTACATAGTATAAAGCTGTTGTCATTCTGGTATTTTACTTAAATGCAAGAGTGTCAGCATGACTACCATTTCACGACAACCCAGGAGCAAAATACAGTACACTGAGGTTTTGTCTTTCAAACAGTGGTTTATATACAAGACTTATACATACATACATACAGGTGTCAGGCAAATACTAGGCAAGCAATCAATTTTCAACTCTACACGGAGAACTACAATGGAGATAGATACACAAAGAGAGAAAGATGCACCCTCACATGGCCTCCCTTATATATACAGCTTCTTAAAGTGGCAGTAACCCTCCTGAGTCATCCTCATGTCATCATCTCGGTTTACAGCCTTACAGCAGCTGGTCAACTATTAAATCCTCATTACCCTGACAAAGAGATTGAATGAAGGATGACTTTTTAATAATGCAAGGTGATTTGGTTGTCTCTAAATTACTAATTTATGTTTTCTTGAAGAAAAAGATATTTTGCATTTCAAACGAGTTATGTTTTTTTTAACCCTTGGTTTTATTTAGTTCAGCACCTGGTTAGCTCTTTCTGATTATTTTTTCTGCTAGAGTTCCAACTGTCTTCACTTCTTGTTTTTATCCTTCCACATAATCATCCATTGAGTGAAGGCTGTTCTATAAAAATTGTTAAAGACCATAAGTTGTACTAAAGTAATTAATGAGAGTAATTTTTTGGATGGGGTGGGGTTTTTTCTTTTTTTTGGTCATCACTGATTTTCTTACAGAGAAGCCCGTAATGAGCTTCTAAGGAATCTCTGTTAGATTTTTTTGTTGGAAAGGCAATCTAAAAATGATTATGCTGCTCAAAGTCTCTTCAAGTGCAGGTAATTCACTACTTCAGAACTATTTCTCTGGTTATCTGTCTTCATAGCAACGTAGCTGCTTCATTTGTGTCTTAACTGCTCTGGAGGAGCTTAACTACATGTTCCACATGTTCCTCTTGCTTACGTTTTAATCTCAAAACAAGCACATGAAATAGACAAATTTGAATTTCCGTAGCGTCGTGGGATTTGAACCTGTCTGTCTGATCTGACTCTCTGAATGATGCCATTATTTCCTCTAACCCAGGGGTGTCAAACTCAAGGCCTGCAGGCCGATCCACGGGGTGCTTAGAACTGGCCCACAACCCCGCCCTGGAAACAGTGAAGGCGGCTCTCCTGAGCTCCATCTTCGCTGGCAGAGGGTTGCAGGAATCCATCGGAGCCAAAAACGGAGCTCAGGAGCTCGTTTTCACTGGCAGAGCGCTCAGGCGTAACAACACAAGTGATGTTGAGCTGGTCACGCCAGTGGTGGGATTCAAATTTTTTTACTACTGCTTCTGTGGCCCGTGGCATGGCTTGGTGGGCGTGGCAAGGGAAGGATACTGTAAAATCTCCATTCCCTCCCCACTCCAGGGGAAGGTTACTGCGAAATCCCCATTTCCTCCCCTTCAGCTGGAACTCGGGAGGCAGAGAATAGATGGAGACGGGGCTAGTCAGAGCTGGTATTTACCGGCTCTCCAAACTACTCAAAATTTCCGCTAGCAGTCCTCCAGAACTGATCAGAACCTGCTGAATAACCAGCCCTCACTATGCCTCCCCCCTCCTGCCCCTCCAAGGTCAAACACAACCTTGAAGCTGTCCTCAATGAAATGGAGTTTCACACCCCTGCTCTAATCTTATTCAGAGACTACAGCTTCAAGGTCTTAGGCAGAAGTTCTTCAAACTCCTCTCCCCCTAAAAAAAATATTTTTCTCAAAAGAGATATCAAAGATTGGCCACAGCTGAACTCCAGTCCTATTGTGAACTCGGGATCCTTGTTTGTCTGATTTTTCCAAAGCTAACGTACAGTAAGTGCCAAGTGGGTGGAAGGCAGGAGAGGTGGGTTGTTTTTTTTTTAATGTCGTTTCTTTCAGCTTGATAGCCTTCACCTTCTCTGCTTCAGTTTCAAGGACACCATTGTCAACGCAAAGTACGGGGGACACACAGAGGCTGTGCGTCGGCTCCTGGGTCAACTTCCAATCAGCGCGCAATCATACAGTGGCAGCCCTTACCTTGACCTCTCTCTCTTCAGCTATGATGACAAGTGGGTTTCGGTCATGGAACGTCCCAAAACGTGTGGCGACCACCCGATCAGGTATGCACCGCTGTGCCTTGATTTCCACGATTACATTTGAAAGAACAAGCCGTTGAATGTAGCTTGCTTCCCAGTTGGCCAGGAGACAGGTAATCATAAGGTTTATGTGATGTCTCATTCATTCGGGGCAATTAATAGGGTCCTTGGTTTGAGCCACCACAGGCTACAAGTAGTCCTCAACTTACCACCACTATGGGAGGTGTATGTTGTTAAATGAGAAATTTGTTTAATAGCAATAGCGCTTAGGATTATATACCACTTCACAGTGCTTTGCAACCCTCTCTAAGCGGTTTACAGAGTCAGCCTCTTGCTCCCAACAGTCTGCCTCCTCCTTTTACCCTCCTCGGAAGGATGGAAGGCTGAGTCAACCTTGAGCCAGTCAGGATCAAACTGCTGGCAGTCGGCAGAATTAGCCTGCAGTACTACCTTCTAACAGGAAGGAAGGAAGGAAGGAAGGAAGGAAGGAAGGAAGGAAGGAACGGCACTTAGGCTTATATATGGCTTCACAGTGCTTTTACAGCCTTCTCTAAGCAGTTTACAGAGTCAGCCTCTTGCCCCCAACAATCTGAATCCTCATTTTACCCACCTCAGAAGGATGGAAGGCTGCGACAACCTTAAGGCTGGTGGGATTCGAACTGCCGCATTGCAGGCAGCCGGCAGTCATCAAAAATAGTCTGCAGTGCTGCCCTCTAACCACTGCCCTCTAACCACTGCGCCACCACAGCTCTCAAGTGAGTTTTGCCCCATTTTACGACTTTCCACAGGCGCCCCCGACACGAGTGATGTCAAGCTGCCTCCCCCCCAGCCCTGCCCGAGGTCAAACACAAGCCTTATGCGGCCTTCAATGAAATCGAGTTTGACACCCCCTGATCTAGAGCAGGGATCTCCAATCTTGGCAACTTTACGGCTTGTGGTCATCAATTCCCAGCATTCCTCAGCCAGTATGGCTGAATGGGGAATGCTGGGAGTTGGAGTCCCAATTGTGCCAAGGTTGAAAGACCCCTAATCTAGAAGGCAGAGAGCCTTCACTTCTGATCTGCTTTTCAACAGCCGCAGTTGTTGCTTTTCCTACCCGTTTGAAGTTTATTCCCCATCTTCCTAGTTCCCAGTTCTGTCTGCCGCTCAAAAACTATTCCAATGCCAGTTCGCACCCTCATGCCTTGTAGCACCCAACTAACGGGCTGCTTTGGAGGTCTCCTTTGAACCTTTCCTTATTGGCATGCCTGAGTTCCTTTATGCCACACTCGGCTTACTTTTGAGTTCTTCTTCCCTTTTTCCCACCATGCGCCAAGCTGCTGAAACAGCACATTCCATGTTGGGTTGGATAGAAGATGATGGGCCTTTTGCCACCTGCTCCCCACCCACTTTAGGATGTAGTGGCTCAGTGACTCAAACGCTGAGCTCGATCAGAAAGGTTGACAGTTCGGCGGTTCGAATCCCTAGCGCCGCGTAAGGGAGTGAGCTCCCGTTACTTGTCCCAGCTTCGGCCAACCTAGCAGTTCGAAAGCACATAAAAATGCAAGTAGAAAAAATAGGAACCACCTTTGGTGGGAAGGTAACAGTGTTCCTTGCACCTTTGGCATTTAGTCATGCCGGCCACATGACCACGGAGACATCTTCGGACAGCGCTGGCTCTTCGGCTTTGAAACAGAGATGAGCACCCGCTTCCCTAGAGTCCAAAATGACTAGCACATATGCGCGAGGGGAACCTTTACCTTTACCCCAGCCACCTTAACCCGCAGCCAGGAGACTGCTTAGCTGTCCTCTAGCTCGGGCCAATCGATGAGCCTTCTGTTGACAGGTGAAGGCCAAGGCTTAAGCAGACTGAAAAATGTCACCGTAAGCCTTTGGGGGAGGAGCGTTTTTAGAAGCCCACCAGCTAGGTAAGCTTTTCCATCGCTGTAACAATTGGCCCCCGGAGAGAAGTGCTCTCCATTACTGTTCTTATTGGCACGCATCTTGCATTTCGGGATCTTAATTTCACCGCTGCGTTCGGAGGCAGTGCAAATGGCCTCTGATTGCAGAGCACTTTTCAAAAAATAGATGTTAAAAGAAGAAGAAGGGGAAAAAAAAAAAAACCAAACCCGAGACAGAGCCCATCTTGGAGATTACAGGGCACTTTTCTTGAGTATGGCAAATTGCCCCGAATTAGAATGGCAAAGGCAGAAACTCGTGGAATGAAGTTTGCTCCCCTTCCTGTCGTCGCCCCCACCTCCCGTCCCCCCACAGCCTTCTGTTTAGAATGTCAGGCTAACCAGATTGTTGCTCTTTTCCCTTGGTGTGTGTATGTGTGTGTGTGTTTGTGTGTGTGTGTTTTGTCTCTTAATTGTCAGGCCAGCCAGGGGGCTTTTAGGAGCAAGATATCAATAATGGCTATTTTAGAAAGAATGTGATGAATGCAACAGGCCACATAATGAAGCCTGGAGGGTATTCTGTTTAATCCCCGAGAGAGCCTCCTCTTCCCCACTCTGTCTGCATGCAGCATGGATGGTGTGTATTATGTGGAGGGAAGGGGAGGTGTGGAATCTGCACCATCAAGGGTTCGAGCACGGAGGAGGATGCGGTGAAAATGCTCCCCTGCAAAAAAGGAAGGGAGAAGCAGCCACAAGATCAGGGTCAGTCTGTCTCTTTTATCTCAGCTGCATTTTTAAAAACTCAATTCCTCATGGCGTCCTTCTCATCCCGATGATGAGCCCATCTCCTGCAAGAGTCTAACTGAATAGCTGCTGTCGTAATTCCAAGGTTTGACAGCTTCCCAGCACCGGCTTGATTTGTGTAGGACTGAGCTGGAGAGTGGATAGTTTTCTTTGGCATCGAGGTTCCCTGCTACACTTGACTTTTCATTTTCCCCTTGGCCCAACATCGCTCGGCATCCTTTTTTTTTTACTGAAGGGGGGAGTTCTAAAGATGCTGCCTTGAGCTGCTACGGGAGAGGCAGGATCTGAGCCATGATTGATAATAATGCCCTTCAATCCCATCACTTAGCTCGTTTGGTAAAAGGCAAACTTTGCTTTTATTGAAACCTTTTTAGTAGAGAAGTTCTAATGTTTCCCTGTTTTTTTTGTCTTCACTTTGGTCAAAATAGCATGATGTCTTTCTTTGCTTACTGAATTCATGAGATTGATGTTTATTTAGTTCTGTGTGCCCAAAGACTAGCCATCCAGCATTTCTCTCTTTCCCTCTCTCTCTTTCTCCCCCACCCGCTCTCCTCCTTTCTTTGTTTCTGTCTCCTTTCCCCTTTTTTCTCTCTCTCTGTATCCTCTCTTTCTCCCTCCTTCCCTCTCTCTTTCTATCTCTGTCTGTGTATCTCCTTCCCTCCCTCCTTTCTCTCCCTCCCTCCTTCCCTCTCTTTCTCTGTCTGTGTTTCTCTCTCTCCCTCCCCTCCTTTCTCTCCCTCCATTCCTCCCCCTCTCTCCCTCCCTCCTTCCCTCTCTTTCTCTGTCTGTGTTTCTCTCTCTCCCTCCCCTCCTTTCTCTCCCTCCATTCCTCCCCCTCTCTCCCTCCCTCCTTCCCTCTCTTTCTCTGTCTGTGTTTCTCTCTCTCTCTCTCTCTCCTTTCTCTCCCTCCATTCCTCCCCCTCTCTCCCTCCCTCCTTCCCTCTCTTTCTCTGTCTGTGTTTCTCTCTCTCCCTCCCCTCCTTTCTCTCCCTCCATTCCTCCCCCTCTCTCCCTCCCTCCTTCCCTCTCTTTCTCTGTCTGTGTTTCTCTCTCTCCCTCCCCTCCTTTCTCTCCCTCCTTTCCCCCCC